CAGAGGCTGAGCCCATGCGGCCAGCAGGCCCCAGAGGCACACAGGCCAGCCAGAGGCCCACACACCTTGCATGTTTATCAGGAGACTGGGTCACAGACCAGACTGAACACTGGGCTGAGGCGGGTGAAACTGCCACGTTTATGATAAAAACCAGACTCCATCACCACGGTCAAGGGCTCAGCCCTCCTCTGGGGTGAGGCCTTGCAGGGGGCCCGGGAGTGTGTGCGCTACAGGGGCCAGCATTTCAGGCCTCACCTACTCCCAGCCGAGACAGTCACAAATGCTCCAGACACTGCTCTGTCCCCCATGAGCAGAATCTCCCTTAGATGCAAGTCTGGGACCAAGAGCAGGGACACTTGGTCACTTAAAGCAACACAAAAATGTGACCTCAGAGCTCTGAAGCCAGGGTCCTTCGGAAGTCTCAGGCAGAATCCACGCCCTGTCTCTTCCAGATTCCAGAAGCTGTCAGAAGCCTCGGCTCAGGCTTCACTCCAACCACACTGAAGATCACACCTCTTCCTGACCACGACCTCAAAGCAGCCTGTGGTTGTGTGCAGGGCCCCCCGGACTAAATAAACCAGGACCATCTCCCACCTCAAGACAGATCATATGCTCCCATGAGCCCCTCCAGCTGTCAGACCTGGACATGTGAGGACCCCCTCTGAAACACTCAAGACCCTCAGGGGACGGGAAGGATGGGCAGGGAGGCAGAAGAGCCAAACCATCAGGCAGGCGGTCATGGCTTCCTGGGACACACAAGAAACAAAGACAGGCAGGAAGACGGTACGGGGACGGCCGGATGCTGGGGGCTGCGGGAAGGACCAAAGCACCCTCCGGACAGCCAGGACCAGAAATATCAAAGCTCAAGGGCTACCCAGAGAGGCAGGCTAGCTCCCCTCTCAGAGCCAGGGGCACCTTTGGACTCCTGGTCTCCAGGACAGAGACAGAGAAGTTCTGTTCTGAAGTCCCTCAGGGGGCCCTGGTGGCAGGCAGTAAAGCACTTTGCTGCTAACAAAAGGAAGACCTGGGAGGGGTCTCATCTCACCCCTCCCCAGATGAGGGCCGTGAACAGCTTGGGGGGAGGGATAGCCTTTTACAACAGACTGCAGGTGAAAACATAGAGGTGAGGACCAGAGGGGCTGCCAAGCCCACGTGCAGAGACAGTGCGACTTATGAAGAGGGCATGAGCTATGATGAGAGCGTGGGCAGTCTGGACCTCGAGTTCCTGGGCAGCTGCGGGGGGGCCCTGACCTCTCTACGGCTAGCCCCTCGGCTGTCAGGTGGGGTGACAGCTGCTTTCTCTATTTCAGAGACCGGGAGGGATGCGTTGACCCAACACTGAAGTGCTGTATGAAACTGTGTGCTTTCCAGCTCTCCAAACTCCTTAGAGGTTGTGAGTTCAACTCACTGGGTGATGTTAAAAAAGAAACAAAGATCAAAGGCCGGGCCCCAGGCACTGGGAGGTGGAGAGCAGGCATTCCTGCCCAGAAGTCTGCTGAGTGCTCTGCGGGGTCATGGGGTCACACCTGTGGGATACCCCACGAGCGGGGGGGACACAGTGATCTTACACACGCCTGGGGCCTCGGAATGCAGTACAATCCTGGGGAAACAGCGAGATAACAGGTAACGTCAGCAGGAAGGTGGAACACCTTTGCCTTTTGGGAATGTCCCTGGCTTATAAAATCTAGAAACGACTAGAAATAAAGCAGGTTAGTGGTGAGAAACTATACTGTCAACTCAAAGTTCCATGGTTCAAATCCACCAGCTGCGCTGTGGGAGAAGGATGGGCAACCAACGGCTGGGCAATTACGTGCCTCTGAAAACCCACTGGTGAGTCAGCTATGGGTCAGTTTCAACCCTAGGGGACACACTACCACCAACAAAAACAAAGCAAGTGAAGTCCTATCTTATTCTCATGGACACGTTCCACAAAAAATTTCTAACTCTCAGATTTTTTTAAAATTATAAAACACACCTGAGGCTCTTCTTAAGAACATTTTTCTAACCCAACATGTGGAAACAACCTTCCAGTCCACCCAAGCCCCCTCCTCTGCAATGCAACACCTTTAGAGGGAATCTCCAACAGCTGCCTTACAAAACACCACAGCCCAGGGCATCACACTGTTGTCAGGCGCCAGAGTCCACATGACGCAGGGCCTCTTCACAGGAACCCACTGCCAGGTCCTTCTACCGCTGGATGGGCTCAGGTGACCAATCTTTGGTCAGCAGGGGAGCACGCACACTATATGCACCATCGAAGACCCAGTGCCGACTTCCATTGACCTTAAAGGACAGGAGGCAGCTGCTCTTGTAAACCTTTACTGGAGAAGAGTACCTCCGTCTTTCCCCAAAGAGCAGCTGGTGGGTTTAAACCCATGACCTTACAACTCACTGCTCCACCAGGGCTCCTTTCACACCCAGCAGAGCCTGGGAACCACCACCCAAGACAGTAAGCACATGAGCACTGGACAACGGCAGGGCCCACAAGGGGCAGGGGAGGGCAGGGGAGGACGTCTAGCATCAACCATCCAGAGTCATTTGAAAACACTACCACGTGTCAGCTGCGGGCTGGCTGGGCCCTGACCCCTGGTGAACACTGGCACGGTGGCTCCCGTGTCCACTCCACAATGGGTAGAGAAGAGGACCACAGGAGTCTCACTGGCTGGATTCTGGAAGTCCATCTCCAGGCCCTTCTTTCTGGTCAATCTTAGCGTGGAGGCTCCAGGGAAACCTTTTCAGCATCAGAACACACGCAAACCTCCAATGACAGGCATCATGAGGGGCTCATGAGAGATGGGCACTCATGGGAAAGGGGCACTCATGGGAAAGGGGCACTCAGGGGAAAGGGGCACTCAGGGGGAAGGAGTCCCGGTCCCCGAACCACCACTGCGTGGCCTGCACGGCCCACATTCCCAAGGCAGGCACCCCGGCTCACACCAATCCCAAACAAGGATGCCGAGGCTCCGGGCACTTCCCTCACCCTTCAAACCAGCTGTGTCCACAGCAACAGTGCTTCCCCCAGAGACCCCCAGCCCTCCCTCTCCTGGGAACCCAAAGAAGCAGAGCAGAGAGGCGGGGACAGCAGGGGATCCCATCACTGTGAGCAGTCCCCTGGGCCCTCACTCAGCCCCTGTGGGTCACAGAACTGCCCCATGGGGTGCTCCTGGCCCTCATCTGACCACCAGGCCTGCCTTCCTCCCAGGCAGCTCAGGGCTGAGAAGGCACCCTAAGTCAAGCCCTGTGCCAGGCGGGCAAGAGCCACTCTCCCAGCCAGTCAGCTGCTTCCAGAGGAAAAAAGGCATGAAAAAAGGAAAGAAGTTACAGGCTGCACCTAAAGCCCGCTGGGATGTGAAGCCAAGAGAATCAAGAGGCTGACAGACATCAACTAAAATAACCTCATTTCACTGCAGCGTGGTCACACACCAACTCCGGAAAGTGCAAGGGAGTGGGAGAAGGCTGGTCCAGACGGACAGGGGACAGACAACCAGGGGGAAAAGGGGGACAACGGACGTGGCAGAGCTGGGAGGTGCCCTCCCCCCAAAAGATCCACCGTGTCCACCACACGGCGGGGCGGGGCAAGGCCCCTCCCCCGAGATGATGTCCATGGGGCACTGGGGGACCCCCAGGTCCATCATGTCCACGGGGCACTGGGGGGACCCCCGGGAGATCCACCGCGTCCACGGGGCAGTCGACGGAACCCCCGAGATCCATCATATCCAGGAGGCACTCAGCGGGCCCCCCCAGATCCATCATGTCCACGGGGCACTGGGGGGATCCCCCCAGATCCATCATGTCCACGGGGCAATGGGGGGACCCCCCAGGAGATCCACCGTGTCCACGGGGCAGTCAGGGGACCCCCAAGATCCATCATGTCCACAGGACACTCAGCAGGGACCCCCGAGATCCATCATATCCACGGGGCACTGGGGGACCCTCAGATCCATCATGTCCACGG